TTTATGTATATTTGTGTGGTATCGTGTAGTTTTTAAAATATCGACAGATATCGTTATCACAATGTGGAGTATCTATATAATACAGCTGATTCGTCGTAAAACTTGATTAACACTTCAAATACTAAGTGAATGTTAACGATTAAAACTATAGATATAATATATTTATATATTTTTTATTTGACAAGGCTCTGCTGGTTAGAGATTTATTATTTCTTCGACGTTTGATGAAAAGACATCTGAGACTATTTTTTTTAATGTCCTCGTTGTTTTGAAAAAAATTATTACTAATTATACGTTCGCACGGTATTTGAAGAGTTAATTTAACAAATCATTATTCGTCATCTCGCGCGGACTGTTTTGATCGAATTACATAAGAAGTCTGTGTTAATTAATTCCGAATAAGCGAGTCGCTTGTCGTTGACTCGATTGTAGCGTTAAACGAGAAAGAAAGATCTAATAAAGTTTTAGTACAATTGTTTAATAGTGCACACAATTATTTGTTTTATGTAATTAGAGTTTGTTTGCGAGTGGCACCGGAGGATTTACAGTTTAATATCCCTATAGAGAGATAACGACTGTAGCTTGGCATAATAAAGAGGGTCTCTGCAACGTGCCTGGGATACCGTAAACACACAAGTATCGCAAAACAATAGTTAATTAGTTTGTAATTATTCTATGACAGCCTTCTTGCTCCGGGTCTGCATTATGAAACATGAGTTCGCCGTCTACGAATTCGAAGAAACGGTATCGCGGAAACTTTTTAATCCTCGAAGCTGGGAACGTAATAATGTCTGTCTTCGAGATTCTACCGCTGGTTACCTACGAGGTTAAACGTCTTACGAGTTCTGCTCGTCTATCGATTTACAACGTTGAATCGTTATCTCACGCGACGCACGAGAGAACCTCCCGTCGACATTCTATAAATGGAAGCTTTCCGTTAGAATCAGAATGCCACCCGCAAAGAAACCCGGAGTTCACCGAGCGCGACGAAGGCGGGTCGTTGCTGTCGTAACTTTCCAACAAACAAAAATAAAGTCTGAGAGTCAAACGGGGGGAAGATCTCCGCGTTGTCACGAATTAATTTACAGGGTTTACAAATTTTTTTAGATTCAGCACGTTTTTTTTTTTTTTTTTTTTTTTTTTTGGCGCAATAGCACAGACTTCGCATGAGGATATAAAAACCGAGCATGTGCGAAAGTAGAGAGAGAGAGAGAGAGAGAGAGAGAGAGTATGTGAGTATCAACGAAGAATACTTTTCGAGTTGTTAGACGTGGACAATCAAGTCCTGCTCCAGTCATTACACAGTCAAGGTTGTCACAAAATTAAAAATCAGAAAAATGTCAGGGAAATTGGAAACGATTAGAAAAAAATCAGTCTGGGAATTTGCAGATTTTTCTGGAGGATGAGGAATTTGTGACAACCCTGACAGTCCACTTTGAGCAAGCGATGCCCCCGTTTCCATCAATGTAGATTAAATTTTAATCTCGGTTCTCAATCCACTCTTCATCTTTTTCTAGCTCTAAGAAAGAGATGAAGAATAAATCGAGATTAATTTACATTGATGGTAACAGATATATAAACCGCGTATATTCGCGGTCGATCAACGATTATCGATATGCCTTTGCGTGGCGGAAGTATTAGGAGAACAATCGTCACGAGAGGAGGAGAGAGACACAATGATCTCATTTATTTTTTCATGAAGAGCGCAACGAGCGGACCAGTCGATCGATGCGAGGCGAGATCATTGATAGCTTAACTTAGGCTCGGTTTAGTTCCCGACAGCTGCGTTCCTTAATCCTAAAGATACTGTCGTCCGTTCGATTCGACGGAAAACGAAAATAAGCAAGAAGGATCGGAGCCTTTACACAAAGACGTTTACGTTGACGAAGCTGCATCGTGAGAATCGGACTGATATTCATTGTGCAAATTCCGTAGCTGGTGGAATTGTGTCTATTTATGAAATTGTATGTCAAGGATCGATCGATTTTGAAATTCATTCAGCGGAATTAAAAGACTTACCGAGGTAAAGAGACATTTCTATGGGATTCCGATCGTTGTATCGTTTAAGGTAAACTGGAGTATTAACGAAGAGACGCGAGAATGTCAAAGATTTAGGTTGATATCCACGTTGCAGCGAATTTCACGTTGCGAGGAGAAAAAGAAAGAAAAAAAAAGGAAAAAAAAAACGGACGGAGGGAGGAAACGAGGATCGCGCAATAACGTGGATCTGTATAATAGTAGATAACGTTTAGCTTTATATCCCTTTCTCTGTGCATGTTTTAGTGCATAGCTTATACTTATCGCTATCGATCGCTAGAGGAGAGACACGCTGTTGATGTTATTACATACATTGTATTCGCACGTACAAGCTCGCCTGTACGCGTGCGTTGCACGAGATGGTGCTCCATTGTCGCGTGATTCATTTCGCGAGGATGGAGACGCGAGAGACGGAAATCCATCCGTATATCGAGAGAGGAAAATGTACTATAAATCTCAATAAACAATTGAATAGTGCTAATATGATACATTTATTTACGGAAAAGAAATAATTGCTAGATAAAAAGTAATCAATCAGTAATTCCCATATTAAATAAATATATGCTGATATTTAGTAAACGTTTCCAGCTGGCGCTATTCGAACAAATATTTACTAAAATTTAGTACATTTTTCTCTTAGCGTTATATGAGATATTTCTACAGCTGTAACATCACTCGTTGAGAAATGATTAAAGAGGATTATTATTCCTCGTAGCTGTGTCGCTACTGCAGCTGATTATTAATTTTTCGTCGCACGACGTGTTATTCCGAAACCTCGCAATCAATTCAAAGGAGCCCTCGATTATTCCCGGGAGCGCGCGAGTGACGTCACAGCTGCAGCGTCCGGGATTTTATTGTAGACGTTGTTGGCGTGAAACGCGGTGGCGGCACATACGAATGACGCAATAAAACGACACACTTGTATGTAGCGCGACACCGGAGGCGAAGAAACGAGGATCGTTTCGTAGCTTCGCGTCGCTCTCGAACAACGGTGTGTGCCGCCTTATCCGACTAATTAGATAAGCTAGCAATTAGTACAACACCGCGCGTACCTATTGCGAGCGGAACGAACGTATTGCGTCAGGATTCCATGGTTCCGGACAAAGAATGCATGTGTGCGTGCGAGAGTGCGTGAGTACGAGCGAGTGCGTGCGTGGGAGAGTTACGTTAGTCATTTCGTTCACTTTTTCCTCCCCTTTTTTTTTTTTTCTTTTCTACGAGTGAGCGCAATCCTTCTTTTCTAAGTTTGTCGTTAAAAGAATCCGCGCATTATGGAAATTATATCTCGTTGTGATCGCCGGGCTCTCGCATACCTGGCAAATCTTAATTATGAAAAATAAAGTTCAAAGTTTCGATGCAGATATACATTGTGTATGTACCGTGCAGATCTGATTTCATTCCTACAACTCTCTTTCTCGCTTTCGCTAAATATGTAAATAACGTATATGTACCTATCTCACATTAAGGAGGTTGCAAGAGCATAAAACACATATTAATATTTATGCTTCAAAGAAATTATATACATGTTATATAAATTATCTACAAATTATATACATGCTTTAAAGAAATTATATACACGGAAGTTGTGTATAATAACATTCTGTTTTTATTGAGCAACGCATTTTTATAGATTATTTATTTTATTTGATATTAGTTTTATTGTTACAAACAAAAATTTTTAAAATAATAAGGAAAATCTAAATTTGTTTAATATAAATATTTTATAAGTACTAAAAATGACTTGTACAAAGTTTCATTGAGATTCACCAATTAATTTATAACAAGTAAATATTTTGTTTAATTACTGACAAAATTAATGTCTGCATCTTGGTGTAACTTTACATAAATATTTTTGAATTTATTAAGTACTTACATAAAAAAAATTGAGATTTCTATCATTATTTTATAATATATTTTCATTAGAGTACAATAGTATTTCTATTAGAGTACAAATTTAAAAAGTATTACTTTTTATTGAAATAACTTTTGATCCAAATGGTAAACTGTCTTTAATTTTTTTGTGTTACTTTTAAATGCAATTTAGAATCTGTAATTTTTTCAAGTAATTCTTAACATATTGCCTTATTGATTTACCTCCTTAAAGTGGGTTCTACAGTAAATCAAGTTACCATAGATTTTTTATCAATATATAATGACTTTGAAATACCAAACTTGACGTCTGCAAAATTCTAGGATGAAAAAATTACGATCGTAATGGTCAGAAAAAAGTGATAAATCATTCTGGAAAGATATTTAATGTCGAAATGACAAAATATCGAATTTTTACAAGAACAAATTATACAAGAA